TATATATATATATATATATATTTGCAGGATAATGCAATATGAATTTTCAGTATTTACATGGCGCAAAAATGTTGAAATTCATCATAGTTTCACCGAACCCACGATTCTCAAAGGTAAGTAACTCTCTTTCAACTCATTATACAATACTCTAAATTAAATAATTGTATATTTTTTTTACGTGGCTGTGTGAGAGGTTTAACATGTTCATACACATAACATCCAGCAAAACCGGTACTTGTAAAGAAGAAAAATGTAAATATAGGAAGAAAAAGAACATGATATGTAGAGATGGAGAAACTGCAGAGTGTAATAATAATGACTTTTAAGAGTGATGGAGGGAAAACAAAACCTTAGCAGATCTTGTTTGACTTATTGCAGCCTCGATTTCTTTCTGCAGAAGCATAAGATCCGTCACACTTAGTTCGTCAAGTTCCCTATCGATACAGATTTTTTGAGTTAATGAATTAACGTCCCATTTAATTTATAGACCAGACCGTAAAAGAAAAGCGGTTAGGTACCTTTCAACATCTAGGAGTAACTCATCACTTGTAATAGAGTTGTTTGACTGCCCCTGATTTTATATATATAACCAAAATATTATCCCGGATTTTAGAGCGTGTGTTCGAAATCCCATTCCTTGACCAAGTCAACACATAATTAAGTGCGGAAAAATATCCCATTTCGAAGAACTCGAGTTAGATGAATATTAATTCGACGTGAAAAAATCGGGATCACCTTTGCCTCGGAAGACCTTGTAGAGCTTTCAGCTTCATCTTTATATCTTTGAAGGACTGGCTCTATGCTGGAAAACCGAACCGATAAGCAGTGAGTGAGATATAGGTACTAATCAACATCCGTAAAATAAAATATACTTAGTCTTAAGAGCATCTTCAAATCTTAAGAGCATATAGGTACTAATTTGCAGCATGTTAATGTTCTAAATAAAACTTAAGTGGAAGCGTTTCGTGATTTATAGTTTTGTGATATAAAAAGTCGACTCACTGAAAGAATATCATTAAGATGACATTAAACATACGTGTGCAAAGATGAACATAGAAGCGGATTAAGAAATGACTTGCAACTTTCTTTGCTACATCTCGAACACGTTGGTTAAATTGAATTTTAACCAAAGTATCGAAAAGTTGAGCACTTTTTATACTTTTATTCAAGCTTTATTTGGTCTCATTCTCAAATCATTATATAGGGTATGCTAGTCTTTACATTATCTGTTAAATAAATCGATTCCCAAATATGACATATACGCACAGTACAAAATTCTGACACACCCCGTTACAAATTAATTCTATAAAAACCCATTTACGGGGCAATCTTAGAGCGAGGCCAACATTTGGTTAATAACGTAAATTAACATATTGTTGCATGTCAAACATGAGATCATATAAAACAAGTTTTACAAACAGACTTTTCGCAACTTTAATTGTTTTGATACTTAGGCCCCGTTTGGTTGGCCAGATAAGATAAACCAAGATAAGATTAAATAATCTAATGAGACCCAAGTATTTTATTGGAGCTTGAAACGTCTAACAAAAAAACTCATTAGAAAAGCCAATATAAGGCAAGATAAGCCATGATTATATAATTTTGGCGGGTCGACCCGGCAATTTATTGAGGATACCAAACATCAACTTAAGTCCAACTATTTAGTTAATCATGGCTTATCTTGGCAACCAAACGGGGCCTTACACTATTAGAGCATCTCCAATGTTGTTGATTTTGAACTTTTAAAAGCTAAAAGATAGCCTTTTTTTTTAATTACCATTCTTCAAACAAAAAACTTCATCCAACGGGCCAACCTCGGTGATCAACTAAACGGAAAGTTGCACTCGCTATAAATATCCTTTTCTATTGTGAAAATGTAAACACAAAATACTAAATTATGACATTACCCCCATTGGAGATGCTCTTAGGGCTACGGGTGTAATTTGGCACATTTGGTGAGCCCCAAGTCAACTTGAGTTTGAGAGCTTGAGCTCATCAAGTTATTTTAAGTTCGAGGCTTGGAGCTCATGGAATAATGAAGCTATTTTATTTTAAAAATATTTTATTAGGGGCAAAATGCACTCCACCCTTTGGAATTTTCAATTTATGTGTTTGCAAAGTAAAAAAGATTTTCCCCCCCTTCAAAATTTTGTTCCAGTTGCACTTTGCCTCAAATTACAATTTCCGGCGTAGTATTTATCATCATTGCCATGAATCCGTCCAATTGATAGATCAACCGTAATAGCTATTAACATAAGAAGAATGTGAAGATTCTCACTCTCTTGGGAGCACAATAGGCATAATTAGTTTCAGGAGGAAAAAACCCAAAAAAAGATTCATGAAATTAGTGAAATGAATTGCATTCTTCATCTATTAGAAAAGATATATTAGGATTTGGATGGAACCCTGAAATGACTCAAATGGCCTAAAAAGTGGACGGATAATGACAATTTGGATGAAAAACACAGCGAAGATTATGATTTGGGGCAAAGTGCAACTGACTCAAATTTTGGAACGGGAGATTTATTTATTTTTTTTTTTTTTTTAATTTGTAGTGGGGAAAGTACAAAAAATGAAAGTTTATTGAGGGCATTGGGCAATATGCATTTTGTTATGTTATGCAAATAAAAACTTCAACTACGAAAGTATGACACAAGCGAGGAGCTACGTGATAGCGTACAACCAAGAAAATGTCATCGTCTAAATGGTTGTCTTCAACTTTGAAGTTAAACTTTCAAGATAAATTAGAAAATTAAATCACTATTTCTTTTTATACACAAACAATTATCGTACACGTCTTCTCATCTAGTCAATAGACATGACAAATTTGTTTCAAGGGAAATTAGAGAGAACCTCCTTGGCTGAATATCGAAAAACCAAAGAACAAACCACATAAAAAAGTGGGGGGATGTTTCAAAGACAAAACAATTGCTTTGGTTTTTTTTATAAAATTGAATCATCATTTTCATGTATTGTGCAAAGGGTGAATAGTTGTACTAAAAAACCGAACCGATAAAATAAATTCGTGTTGTGTCATACATATATATATTTTACCATAACATAACACATCTTTCAATTGCTAGTCTCACTCTATAATACATATTATTTTGTGCATAAATTGAGTCATTAGTATACGAATCTGATAGTAACTAATATCTTACTTGAGTTCATGATTTTAACCATGCGTTTGGTTAAATTAGAAAATATAGTGTAATATATCACCAACATTATGCGAAGTCCTATGGGACTAAGTTTTTATAATGTTTTTATTGCATTTAGTTGGTTAAATGAAACTAAATGTAAATTATTTCGTGTGAACATATAATTGCTAATAACCGGACAGAATCGAAAAAACCCAAAACCAAATGAAACCAAGTTGATCTAAAACCGACATGTATGGTTCATATTTTACAAAAACCGATATATATATTTAGTTCATGTTAATCTTAGCCGAAAATTGAACCAAACTAATAGCTACGGCAATCCAAATACGATTTCTTCTTTTGTTGAAGGTTGAGTTGTGAGCAATGTCGATTTGTTGAAGATACTAGCTCGCTAGCTAAGGATGCTAGTGCCTTATTCTCTCCACTATGGCCTAAAAACGAATGCATGTTGCTTGGCTTTCGATCAAAAGAGTGATTCACAAGCAACCCAATAATAGATCACACTAGCATGTATCTCTAATAACGAAGACAATAACATTATTTATAGCTATAATTAAATAAAACCGTACAATCCCTAACAGGTAAATAGGTATTGGGAGAGATCCTTCGATAAACCCTAATTTACTTGTTCTTCATGGTAAAAACGGGTACAAAGGTGATAATATTACATATAATTTAGAAGATTTCCACTAAATTTGAAACGCAAGGATGAACATGTAAGAAGATTTATAGTTGAAGGTTGGTTGTAATTACCCAAACAAGAGGGGGATTTTCGTAATTTGTAATTTGTAATTTACCCATAAAATAAAAAACACCAAACCCCACCCCACCCCGGAATCCAGATTGATGAACACAATGATAATAATAATAATAAAGTTCAACTGTATATATAAATAAAATTAACAAATAATATCCAACTATATGAATCAAAAAACCTCATTAATAATCACCTTTTAATTAAGATCATCTGCATATAAATTATAAACAACAGGATAAATAAAAAATAAAATAAAATAAAATAAAAAGGAAATTGAAGTAATCACCTGTCAGTGCTAGAGTATTCAAAAAGCTTGCCCCTGTTGGAGAAGATAATGGTGGCGAGATCGACATCGCAGAGAACAGATAACTCCTTAGCTTTCTTAATCAAACCGTTTCTTCTCTTCGAAAAACAAACCATTCTCGCACCGTTCTCCTCGATTCGTTTTATCTCCAATTTCTTTCTCCCCATTTTTCGGAATCTGTTTACCCAATTTCTGTTAATTAAAAAACAATTAAAAAAAAAAAAAAAAAAACAACGGAGTGAGAGAGAGAAAAACAACCCTATCTATATGCGTGCTGGTGTGTGTTTGTGTGTGTACTTGACTATTTGTTCTAGAGGAATATATGTATGTATGAGAATCAGAAGAAATTTCTAATTTTTTTTTTTTTTTGGGGGAAAATTGACTTACCGTTGTGGCAATTTTTACATGCGCGGAGCATGTTTTTAATCAAACAATTGAAACTATTAATCACCATTAGAGATCCCTCTGCACTGTTTAAAAGATCTTATATATTATAATATATATATAATATAAAATATCTGAAATGCTAAATATGTATTTTTTTTTAGTATACATATTAAGTGCAGAAAACAGCACTGGGGAAGAGTATCCACGTGGCGTACAAAAAAAAAAACAGTCATCTGAGGAGCTGACACGTGGAGTTTAAATATCTTCTGAGGCAGCGGCGTGAGAGGTAGGGTCGGTTTATTTTTTCGTAGCAAGCGACACTACTTTATGTGATTATTGGCTTAAGCTTCGGTGGTGCGTTTTTTACCCGGGAAAAAAATAAGAGCGATTTTTCGTAATTTGACGGGTAGTTTTAATTTACCTATAAAATATCATAAATATCGTTCAATTTTCAATTTGCAGTCTCCTGCATTGATTTTTTTTTCTTAAAAAATTTATTTTAATTAATATTATTGTCTTGGAAAACTACTGTTTTCAACAGTAATTTAACTGTATGAAACAGTAATATAGCTATCTCCAGACTTTTTTTTTTCAATTTTTTTTTAAAATAAATTATTTCAATTACTATTACTGTCTTGGCTGCTAAAAAACTATCTCCAACAGTAATCTAACTGTCAGAGTCATTAAATTTAACTGTTTGAGACAGTAATATTACTGTCTGAGATGAATTTTACTGTATTAATTAATTTTATTGTCTTGGCCTGCAATTTTGCTGTCTTCGACCGTAATATTACTTTCTCCGATCGTAATTGTTGACACCGAAATTTCACCAATTAATGGCCAAATAAATCGGTTATTAACTGGGTCTCAAATCTAAGTCCATAACATATTTGGGCTTTACACATGGATTAATCCTTAAATAAGAAATAAATTCTTATTTTACGAATTATCTAATTGGGCTCGAATCTAGCCCAATAAATCAAATGGCGAGTATCCAAGTCCATCGGTCCATGCTACAAGTTAAAACCCTAACTCGTGCCTATAAAAAGCGACCTTCGGTGCATGCAAAAAATGGGACTCACAAAGACACAAATTGAGCTCTCAAGCTCACGTCTCGAGCCTCCGCCTCGTATTCATAATATATTTGAATTCGAGGTGTTCGTGATAGGAAATCATATGTTCGATTCCTCGAATTCATAACATATTTAAATTCGAGGTGTTCGTGATAGGAAATCATTCGTTCGATTCAAGAACAAGCTTTTAAGCCCTTGAATCAAAATTAGAATAGGAGAGAAGAATCAGGGAATTCACGGAGATTGTAATCCGCTTTCGTTTGATAATAAATTTATTTGTTTCCTATATTTTTCTTGTCTTGTATTTTTATTATATTTTGCAGACTCGAAAAATTTGTGGTTTACAAATTGGCACGCCCGGTGGGACAATCTTCACCCCTCATCTCTTTCTCCGATGTCAAAGTTCATGTCACTTCGATCATCCTTCCGATGTCTATGAATCCCTTGCCGCTCGTGGACTTGGATGACAAAAGAAAAGGAAAAGGCATCACCCTCTACTTACTTGGGGGCAACGTAATTGAAGGAGAGGAAAATTTCCTATATACAAAATGGAAAATCCAAATCTTTGACACATGCGGTGGTTAAAAATATATATTTATACAGATTCTAAAGAAGAAGAAAAAATCACCCTATTTTCATGGCAGCTAAAATAGGAAAAGGAAATCAATCTATGATCCTCCTCCTAAAGCATCACCAGCGGGCGGAATGTTGGGCAATTAGAGCACCAATCACTGCAAAACAATTTCACCACCATCACTCAACACCGCCAGACTGGATGAACAATCGCCGCCGAAAGTCCTCGCCGGTGTTATCACCTTTTCAAGTTGTTCCAACCTCCACTCGTCCAAATTTACTGCTGCCATCGGAAGTGTTGCACCTCCTCTTCCACCACAGGCCCCATTGACAACTCCGGAAGGCCAGATTTGCACCGGCGAACTACCGATCACAGCCCGAAGCACTCACCGGTGTCATCACTTTGCCGCCTCTGCTAGGAGAGGCTCGTTTATTTGAGGATGTTGCTGCAAGAAATCTCTGCTCCTCTGATTTGCCGCTTCAAATTGCCGCCGGTACAAATCCCAGTCGGCCACCTTGAATCCACGTCGACTGAAAAGCTGGCCGACTCCTTCTCCAAGACACAAGGCTAGAGGCGGAGACCATTCCACCATCGCATTCCGCTCCACCGTGAAAATCAGTCGCTGGATTTTTTTTTACCTAATCTCGCCGCTGCAGGCCTCCGGCCGCTCAATTCCGCCGCATCAAGCACACCATTGCACAAACACCCAGGGACCCAACAATGCTTCCTTATAGTCCCCTCGCCGACAGTTGTCATCCATGGCCAAATTGAAAGTACTAATAAAAAGAAAGGAATAGAGTGAAAAAAGGATCCAGCTATCCTCACGGACTCAACGGAAAATCGATGATCATCGATTCCCATCGCCGCTCGGAGCACGGTGTTATCATTTATCCCGCCATTGTAGGCTTCCGACCACTCAAATCTACACACCTTTCTTTGGCGCTTAGCGTGGTGGATTTACATTAGAAATTCGTTCTCCCTCTCACCACCGTCTAAAAGCCCGGAATTGCCGCCGCAAACCGTTGGCCGCTCGAATTCGCCACCTCAAACTCACCATCCACAAGGGGACCGTTCCACCTGTGACATAAAGACGGTTGCATACGAGCCAAATCTCGCCCCATTTCTGCTCGTCCTTGTTGCAGTCTGTGGTCGCCGCAGTCACCAGATACATAAATGGCAACTCAATACAAATCACGTTAAACCTACGAGAAGGGAACGAGGGTCGGTGAAAAGTTGAGCTCCAACCGCGGTTGACTACCAAATATATCGCCCGCGGTGGAATGGTAGGAGTGATAATCGAGAAGAGGATTTTGGTGGGCCGAACGAAGAAGGCGGGCAAAAAACCAAAAAATCAAATCCTCAAATCAAGTTTTAAATACCAATTTGGTCCATAGGTGGAAAAGAAAGAAATGTCAATTTTGCCTCAAATTCAAAAATGCAATATTACATTTCAACCCTCCAATAACAAAGTGGACTTTCCATTCAAGTCCCCAAAAGTGATGGCAATTCCATATACACCCCAAAAAATGGAGGAAATGGGTTTTGGAGCCAACAAAGATAGAAGAAACAAATTGAAGTCTCGCCCTTTACAAGTATTTGGTATGTTTTTCACCGGATACTTCAAGTCTCGCCTCTCAAGTATTACGCATGTTCTTCGCCGATTCTTGAAGTGGGGGCATTTGTTGACACCGAAATTTCACCAATTAATGGCCAAATAAATCGGTTATTAACTGGGTCTCAAATCTAAGTCCATAACATATTTGGGCTTTACACATGGATTAATCCTTAAATAAGAAATAAATTCTTATTTTACGAATTATCTAATTGGGCTCGAATCTAGCCCAATAAATCAAATGGCGAGTATCCAAGTCCATCGGTCCATGCTACAAGTTAAAACCCTAACTCGTGCCTATAAAAAGCGACCTTCGGTGCATGCAAAAAATGGGACTCACAAAGACACAAATTGAGCTCTCAAGCTCACGTCTCGAGCCTCCGCCTCGTATTCATAATATATTTGAATTCGAGGTGTTCGTGATAGGAAATCATATGTTCGATTCCTCGAATTCATAACATATTTAAATTCGAGGTGTTCGTGATAGGAAATCATTCGTTCGATTCAAGAACAAGCTTTTAAGCCTTTGAATCAAAATTAGAATAGGAGAGAAGAATCAGGGAATTCACGGAGATTGTAATCCGCTTTCGTTTGATAATAAATTTATTTGTTTCCTATATTTTTCTTGTCTTGTATTTTTATTATATTTTGCAGACTCGAAAAATTTGTGGTTTACAGTAATATTACCGTCTCATGCAATAATATTACTAATATTAGTAATATTACTATTCGGGAAAGTAATATTCCTAATATTACTGTCCCAAACAATAATATTAGTTAACAGCGGTTAACCGGCCGAAAATAAAAATTCAGAATAAAAAAAATTCTCGAAAAAAAAAAATCAATGCCGGAATTTGGCCGGAAAAACAATTCAGAAAAAAATTATTTCCTGAAAAAAAAAATTAATTTTTCAAAAAAATATTAAAATGGGGGTTAATGTGATATATTTGTTCAAATCCGAGGTCAATGTGTAATATTAAATAAAGTTAGAGTGTAATGGATGAAATTGATAAATATTATATTATGGAGGATATTTTAGACAAAAGACGTGAGTATGAGTTTATTTGCAAGACGATTTTTTGTCAGGACCTTTGTGCATTTAAGTTCCTTATCACGAGCCTTGCCATTCGCTCTTTAAACTTCCATATCAAATAACCTACAGATTATGTAGCTTGTGCTAATCCAACATAACATTTCATCCAATTCTGCACAACAAAATTGTGAACTTTAAATTTTATATAGTTAGCCGAAGGTTGATCCTTTCTAAAATTAAACGTAAAAGGGTAAAACAATCCTAATAATCATCTAATCTGAATCAGTTTCTGGGCAGATTGCGCTGAATGAAATGTAACCTATTTTTCAAATTTTAATCCATCAAAAACAACAATATAAAAGTCTTTTTTTTTTTTTTAAATTTATTTATTTATAATTTTAAAAAAATCCATTTTTTATTTATTTGTTTTTATACTGGGTGACCTGGGTACTCGGAGCTTCGGTTAGCTGAATCAGCATTAGTTAACTTCAAGTTTAGTTGACATTCCTTTTTTTTTTTTTTCAGTTATCTTTATTATTTTATTTTACTTTTTTTTCCCGTGGCGGGTTGTTGGAGCTCTGGTCCGGCGGCGGGTCGACTGCAGTGTTTTGAAGTGTTTTGGAACTTTTTTTGATTCCATTTTAAGGAAATATATTTTTGGGGAAGAATTTGATCATGAAAATAATGTTTGTTTATATTTTGGAAGGAAACAAAATACACTGTAGCAGTCAAATCATGTTTAAATGTGTGAAAAAAAGATTTTAGAAGAAAAAAGTTGAAATATAAAGTGATGTTTATTTGTTTTTTAGTGAATATATTTGTTTTTACTATAGCAGTCAATCAATTTTACTGTAGCAGTTACATCATGTCTGAAAGAGAGAGAAACTGTTGAGATTGTTTTGAGAAAATTATTTGAGTAGTTTAATAAATACAATTTTGTTTTGGGGAATCGATGAAAACAAAATAAAAAAAAGTTCCAAACATTTGAGAGAAATTCATTTGTTGTAAGTTTCACTTGATATAAACTCAAATAATTAGTATTAGCCTTTTTATTATTTTAAACCCTAATTAGAATTTGTTTTATTTTATTTATTTTGATTATTATTATTTTTATTTATTTATAATTAAAAAAAATCATATATTTTTTTTATTTTTTTTATACTGCGTGACATGGGTAGTCAGAACTACAGTTAGCTGACCAACATTAGTTAACTTTAAATTTAGTTGACATTTTTTTTTTTTTAGTTTTTCTTGTTATCTTTTTTATTTTATTTTATTTTTTTCCGGCGACGGATCGTCAGAACTCTGGTTAGCTGACTCAGTATTAGTTAACTTCAATATTAGTGTTCTATGAATCAGACCGGGAAAAAAATGAGATTTTATTTTATTTTTTCTAAAAATATAAATTTTTCCAAAAAAATTGATATATTTGTTCAAATCCAGGGTTAACGTGCAATATTAATAAAGTTGAAATATAATGGATGAAATTAATGAAAATTATATTATGATGGGAATTTTAGACAAAATACATACGAAACTATTTTTTGATTGAATTTATATGCATTTAAGTCTAGCTCTGCCAGCATATTGCCATTTGCCCAATATTTTTATTCTCATTAAAGATTGTTAAAATTATTAAACAAAAAATGGGTCAAAAGGACAAGGCTATGAGGGGGGAGGGTTAATAAATAAATAAATAAATGATACAGTTGTCACAAACCATAGTTTGCCACGTGTAACGCAGTAAGCATGGTCAAGTGGAGAGAAATATCTTTCGGAGCGTACACCAGTGTTGCCAAATCAGATACATATATATATATTATATATATATATATATATATATATATATATATATATATATATATATATAGCTCTATCTACCGTTGGCAATTAAGTGATATTAGCTAATCGATCTTTTTTACCCCTCCCCTCTCTCTCCTCTCTCTCTCTACGCATACCAACAAATGGATGATGAAACCCTAACATCGGAAGTGATGAAACCCTAACATCGGAAGCTGCCGTAAGGGGTTGCGGTGGGTTTTTTCCGGCGCGTGGGGGGGAAGATGAGTTTTTTTTCTAGGGTTTTGTATATGTGTGGGAGTTTCTTTAATTTGTTTGGTAATAATATAATGGCTGAAAGCATTCGAAGCATGTGATAAAAACCTCGAGTTTTCTGTAAGCTTAGTAGAACTGGTTCAAAGATCCATTTTATTTTCTTTTTTAATTCATGTATTTTGTATTCTTACTTTGATGTTTTGCATTTCTTCACAGATTTACTTGTGTGTGTGTGAGAGAGAAATTTGGAAGTAGCTATGTATAGAGGAGTTAAATATTAATTAAATTAAAGCAGAAGAATAATAATTAAAGAGATAAAATCTCAATATATATTTGTTGTCCAAGACCCACCAAACCTCCTGCTAGATGGATATACATGGAGTACTAGATGTATACATGTATGTATGTATATATATATATGTGTGCGTGTGCGCGTGTGTGTGTGTGTGTGTGTGTGTATATATATATATATAGCAGGCCAAGGTGAATATTGCTCCTGCAGGTACGTGTCTCTCTCTCACTCTCTCTCTCTCTCTCTCTCTCTCTCTCTTTCTCTCTCTCTCTCTCTCTCTCTCTCTCTCTCTCTCTCACACACACACACACACACACACAGATACACATATCATATGTACTTGGTGTTCATGTCATTATTAGAATTGAGGTGTTCTTGAAAATAGTTTTGGTTGTAGCAACAAATTATGTGTAAAATGTTGCAATTTTTATTTATATTTTAGTGAAGATATTTTTTGTTCTTTTTTACTACAAAGGCCGAATCCCTCTCGGCACACATTATAGATTTTTAGATCGAAAATCACGGAAAAATAGTTGAGAATGTTTTCGAACCTTTATGTTATATTGTTCGGACGGGAAAATGTAAAGAATTCATTTCCACTAGCTTGTAAAAGAAGAGAAAAGATGAAGGAATGTGTCACCACTTTCGAGTTTTTTCGATGTTGATCGGAAAGAACGAACTAAAGAAGATGATCGGTTGAGTATTATAAGTGCAAAAGTTGATATAGGTACACAAAAAAGTAGTTTCTTCACTTCACATTTTCACTTGACTAAAGGGCTTTGTACAAAGAATCATTTTGTCTTGTCCTCTTTGCCTCTTTTAATATCATACTTTTATATTCACTATTCACTCGTCTAAATATTTATAGAAGCCCCCCGTGTTTCATCGTAGAGTCGCATCTATGCTTCATTTGCGATAATATACATACGAATATATCTACAAAACATAGAATATAAGAATGTCGTCCTTAATTTACAATGAAAAATATAGTCGTTTGAGAAGGAATTAGTTGTTGCTTCAAAAAATGATCTTAAGTGTGATCTTTACATTAAATGTTTTAAGGAAAAAAAAAAGGGAACTTAGGTACACTCCCTACTCTCACGCTTGAATGTTCAATATAAGAAAGAGGTAGTAAGCCATTGATCATTCTTCTCGTATCTTTCAAAATTTGTTGCGTTTTCTACATCATAAAATTTTTTGGTGCCTTGCACTTTGATCTTCTTGTCTTATTGCGACCCACATTTCTATAATTGCATGATTCGATAATTATGCCATGCAAGTTATGGCATAGATCAATTATCGAGCATCATGTAGTAAATTTTAGATGTAGATAGATAGTTAGCACAACTGCAACACACCGGGCTTTTCGACCCTATCGTTAGCTAACATACAGGCCCACTTAGCAGTGGGCCAACAGAAGCCCAACCCATTGAATCCATTGAAGGTATTACTGTCCAAACTAATAGTTGTAGGGGACTGACTACCTTATAAGTTGACACACAATCGCACATTTTTCATGCAATGCAATGCATTTTTCATCGGAACTCCTTATAAATTCAAAATAGCATAGTTTGACAAACTATATATTGGAATGCCAATATACGTTGAGGTGAGATTCCTAGAATCATATTATATGAAATATATTTTGGACGATCGGATTGACGTACAGTCTAAAGGAATAAACTTTTTTACGTAGAGAACTTGAAAGAATAGAAACAATTGTTTATAGTATAAAAAAGGCAAGCTCTTACCATCATAATCTGAACGAGTTCCTGAACGCAATTGTTTTTAGGTGCAGGGCCAATTGCACTTTTTATGCCTTGCTGTCTTCTAACCGAAAACTCAACTCGGTTATGGGCTCGTTTCGGAGCCTTCTTTATCCAGAGCAGTAAGTTTGCTGAATAGACAAGTTTTCTAGGATCAGGAAATACTAAATATTTTTCATTGAGCACTCTGTGATGAGTTAAGATAGCCAAAAGACGAGAAAATCATAAAGCCCAAATTTTTCTTATGACCGTAGTGTATATTGATTCTATCTTTACCTATTTACGTTTTTCCTCCTCCAAATTTGAGTTGTGACAGGAGAAAACAAGATGTATACAACAATGTTTGGGGGCTTAGGTTCCAAGCCCGTGATTAGAAACACAGGGCCCGGAATTGTATGAATGATATTGAGTCCAAGCTCAACCCCCTATTACCAGACAATCCTGTGAAGAGTAAGTATCGTCACAAATTCATATTACATTATTATGGATCCAAATCCCCGTCAATATTCTCAAACCGAGGAGTCGAGTTGCACATACAACAGATAAAAACCACGAATAAATACAGCAGTGTAGCCTGAATAAAGAAGAGGGCTCGAGAGTACGTAGCTTACATGGCGACACAATACAGAAGGTAGATAGATAGATATCCCCATTAGCAGCAGCTTTTTATTTATTACCTGTGTTTGTTGATTTAGATGCTGCGGAGTTATCTTTTTTTACATAAAATGAAAAGTCTTTTTTAAATGACTTCTATTCGGTCATTTGGTCGTCTGCAGCAACGTTGAGATCCACAAGCATCTTCTTTCCCCTCGCGTTTCGATTCTTTCCGGTTATCTGTAAGTGCAATGAAATAACTAATCGTTGCGATAATTAAAGCTTTATTACTCTTTATATGTATAGAGTTTTGAGTTTGATTATATACCTCCTCCAGGCTCCTTTTTTCTTCTGCCAGGCTCTTTTCCTGTTTCATATAAAGCATCATCTATGTGAGTTTCTTTACGTGAAACGAAAAGAAGTAGTTGACTTGCGTAAGCTCTAAAGTAACAGAAAAAAAAAAGTCGGAGATTGTAGTTTGATATATATATGGCTCTGTCTTATCTATATCTGAGTTTTAAGATTGTTAGAATCTCGTGATGTCAACTTCTTGCACCAACTGCCTCAAGTACGATAGATGTGTTACAATAGTCGCTCATCTTAGATGATATCTAAGTGCCTAGTTTTTTTAGGTTGACTTTTTCGACAGAGTGACTTCACTATTATGACTTTTTTAGTGTGTGTGTATGTGTGTGTGTGTGTGTGTGTGTGTTCCGAGAAAATGGTCGGGCTGATTCCACCTGCATATCATTAATACATATTTGAATGAATCAATTTATAGATCTGTTTTGCAGCAGCCTCTATTACGCGTTCGAAGGTTATAAAATAAGGTAGTAAAACAAACACTAATTACGCTCGATGCTACAAATTTCTTTAAAAAGAAACACAGTTGCTAGACGAGCATCTATTTGGTTTCGTGAAGATATGACATCTTCACGACACCCTTACTAAAAACCATATTGTCAAACTTTAGTGTAAATAAAAGGAAAAATGATTTGTTTATACTATTTCGTGCCCGTCACAAGATATGGAATCAAGATTTATGCACGCATGCTATTGTGAAATTAAAGATTTATCATTTATATATTGGACATAAATTAATTAATGTTATCTCCGTTTTGCAGATTGGAAAAAAAAAAAACAGTGCACCAGAATCAAGCATGGAAAGCTCGTTAATACCTTTAAGTACACAGCACTGTCTCGACAATTCAACGTGTAAATTTCACATATTTGAAGGTTATTAAGTTCATATATTCTTTTTCTTCTTGATTTATTTACCCTAATCGGAAAATCCAAGCTTAGTTACTCAGATCAGAAAATGAATAAACTCAGCTATAGGGACCAAATGCATGCATATGCATACATACTCTAGGCAATTCTGAGTTGTAGTTGGGGAAAATACACTTTTCGTCCTTTTAGTTTACCTCAATTTCACATTTGGTCCTCTTTCTTCACAAAAAAACCAGATTTAGTCCCTCATGTTTCAAAACCTAACACTTCTGGTCATTTCCGTCAATGTGCCGTTGGCGGACTCACGGAAAGGACCAAATGTGTTTAATTTTTTTAAACACTAGGGACTAAATCTGTTTGTTGTAAACAAGGGGACCAAATGTGAAATCGAGGTAAAATTGAAGGATGAAAAGTGTATTTTTACTTCTTGTGTGTGCAGATAAGTCAAGTATACACCCAATGGTAAAAATTGAAATGGTAATCAAACCCTTTGGCTATTTAAAAGAAAAACACGTACACACACAATAAATGGTTGATCTTTGTTAGGTTTGTTAGGTGTATATGTATACATTAATAAAGTGTGATTTTTTTTATTTTTTTTTAGGGTGAGAAACACGTAATTCAGTGATAGTGGAACAAATTGTACGCCATATATCAATATATAAAGATCATAGATCTGCATACCTCTTCACGAAGGCTTGATACAGTATCGACCATCCTCTGTGTCTGCAAGAAGAAGAAAATTCTTGTATCAATTCACAATATGTTTACGTACATGCCGACAATTTTTACATTTTTATTTTTTTAGGTTGACAAAAATCGGAAAGAAGACACTATACGGACCAAACTTTAGCTCATGCATGCAAGTAATTTTTATTACCGTCTATTATTTTTCTTCTTTATTACCCTGAGGTTAAAAAACAGGGCATCACAAAGGATTTTCGCATGCATCAGCGTAATATAACAAAAATCGTCCCATTCAAATTTGCAGGATAATGCAATATGAATTTTCACCGAACCCACGATTCTCAAGGTAAGTAACTCTCTTTCAACTCATTATACAATACTCTAAATTAAATAATTGTATATTTTTTTTTTTACGTGGCTGTGTGAGAGGTTTAACATGTTCATACACATAACATCCAGCAAAACCGGTACTTGTAAAGAAAAAAAATGTAAATATAGGAAGAAAAAGAACATAATATGTAGAGATGGAGAAACTGCAGAGCGTAATAATAATGATATTTAGAGTGATGGAGGGCAAACGAAACCTTAGCAGATCTTGTTTGACTTATTGCAGCCTCGATTTCTTTCTGTAGAAGCATAAGATCCGTCACACTTAGTTCGTCAAGTTCCCTATCGATACATATTTTGAGTTAATCAATAAACGCCCGATAAAGTTCCCATTTAATTTTTAGACCAGACCGTAAAAGAAAAACCGTTAGTTACCTTTCAACATCTCGAAGTAACTCCTCACTTGTAATAGAGTTGTTTGACTGCCCCTGATTTTATATATATAACCAAAATATTATCCCGGATTTTAGAGTGTGTTCGAAATCCCATTCCTTGACCAAGTCAACACATAATTAAGTGCGGAAAAATATCCCATTTCGAAGAACTCGAGTTAGATGAATATTAATTCGACGTGAAAAAATCGGGATCACCTTTGCCTCGGAAGACCTTGTAGAGCTTTCAGCTTCATCTTTATATCGTTGAAGAACTGGCTCTATGCTGGAAAACCGATAAACAGTGTGTGAGATACGGTGATGCTCGTGTAATTAAAAAAAAAATAAAAAAAAAAATCCATGACGTAAAATAAAATATATAGAAAACATCTTAAAATCTTAATTTCAGCTAATCTACTCTGCGGCGTTTTAGCTATCTGCATACAGGTACTAATCAACATCCCTAAAATAACTATTATATTTTATTGCTTTTCAAACATATACGCAAAATATGTGTATTAATAACTCGGTTCCTGATTGTTTAGCTAATACTACATACGATTGTCCTTCATTGCAAGTATAAGAGAAATCATTTATTGAAAAATACGAATTGGCGCTTCATGGACTAATTTTAGCTTCCCCTGTTCGAACATCATTTTTCGAAAAGCTAAAATCGTAATAAAAAAAAAAAAAAAACTCTTGAAGACAAATATACTTCACTACATACGAATGAGGAATGAAACAAGCATTCAAGGAAGTCAATGTTAAGTCAACAAACAAAATATGTAGAATACACCATAATCTAGATGTAACACCCCACCATCTTAAATTACAGTAGTAAGTTGTGCTGTAGAGAGGTGAAAGACAAATTCAGTGTGCATAACTTTAGTGCCAAATATGGTGCTCGGAAATAATCGAGGTGAAATTACAATAATCGGCAAAATTAATGCGCGCGTAGCATTTCTTAAAATTAGTGTGCATAACAAACCGACCTCGAGTACTAATATAGGCGCCTTGATGCTGATACAAAAATCTAGACAACATATGAGTTTTATTGGGGCAAACTAAATTATGTGATGTGCAAACATATACCAAAGCAACACTATTGTTAGAACAAGGCCAGGCCCACATCTGATTAATAATGTAAATCAACATATTGTTTCATGTCAAGTATGAGATCATATAACACAAAGTTTTACAAACGATTTTCTATTTTTTTCCTAAATTACAACTTTTCAAACAAAAAAATTCATCAACTAAAACGAAAGTTGCACCCGCTATAAATAGCATTTTCTATTGTGAAAAGATAAACACAAAATACTAAATTATGACATTACCCCCATTGGAGATGCTCTTAGAGCTAGGGGTGTAATTTGGCACGTTTGGTGAGCCCCAACTCGACTTGAGTTTGATGAGCCTGAGCTCATCAAGCTATTTTAAGTTCAAGGCTTCGAGCTCACGGAACAATGATACACTATGAGCTGCTAGCTCATTTTGTTTTGTTCTATTTTATTTTTAAAATATTTTATTAGGGACAAAATGCACTCCACCCCTTGGAATTTTCAATTTTTGCGCTTGCAAAGTAAAAAAGATCCCTCCCTCAAAATTTTGTTCCAGTTGCACTTTGCCTCAAATTACAATGTACGGCGTAGTTTTTACCATCATTGCCATGAATCCGTCCAATTGATAGATCACCTTAATAGCTATCAACATAAGAAGAATGTGAATATTCTCTCACTTTCGGGAGCACGATAGGCATAATTAGTTTCGGGAGGAGAAAACCCAAAAAAAAATTCCCGAAATTAGTGAAACGAATTGCATTCTTCATCTATTAGAAAAAATAAGTACATTAGGATTTGGATGGAACACTGAAAAGACTCAAATGCCCTTGAAGTGGACAGATAAATGGCAATTTGGATGAAAAACACGTCGAAGATTAAAATTTTGGAACGGGGAGAATCTTTTTTTTTTTTTAGTGGGGTTAGTACGAAAATTAGAAGTTTAAAGAGGGCAATATGCTTTTTGCTCTGTTATGCAAACAAAAACTTCAACTAAGAAAGTATGACACAAGCGAGGAGCTACGTGATAGCGTACAACCAAGAAAATGTCATCGCGTAAATGATTGTCTTCAACTTTGAGGTTAAACCTTCAAGATAACCTAGAAAATTTGTTTTAAGAGGAATTAGAGAGAACCTCCTTGGACCTAAATATCGAAAAACCAAAGAACAAACCCAAAAAAAAAAAAAAAAAAAAAAAAAAAAGTCGTTTCAAAGAACAAAACAATTGCTTTGGTTTTTTTTTTTTTTTATAAAATTGAATCATCCTTTTCATGTATTGTGCAAAGGGTGAATAATCGTACCAATAAAATAACTTTGTTTTGGGTTATAAATATATTATTTGACCATAATATAATACATATATCTTTCAATTACTAGTCTCACTCTAAGTACCAACGTTTTGTGCATTCATTAGTAACCGAATCAGGTAGTAACTAATCTCTCTTACTTGAGTTCATGATTTTAATCATGCATTTGGTGAAATTAGAAAAAATAGTGTAATATATCACCAACATTATGTGAAGTCCTATGGGACTAAGTTTTTATAATGTTTTTATTGCATTTAGTTGGTTAAATGAAACTAAATGTAAATTATTTCGTGTGAACATATAATTGCTAATAAACCGAAGAAAAGAAAAAAAACCGAACGTGAATAAAAGAAACCCAAAATCAAATGAAACCAAGTTGATCTAAAACCGACATATATGTTTTATATCTTACAAAAACCGACATATATTTTTAGTTCACGTTGATTTTAGCCGAAAATTGAACCGAACAAAGCCGTGCACACCCCTAGATACGATTTCTTCTTTTTTCTTGAAGGCAATGTCGATTTGTTGAAGCCACACTAGCTCGCTGGCTGGCTAAGGATGCTAATACCTTATACTCTTCACTATGGTCTAAAAACGAATGCATGTTGCTTGGCTTTCGATCAAAAGAGTGATTCACAAGGAACCCAATAATAGATCATCACATTAGCATGCGTCTCTAAAAACGAATAAAACCGTGTAATCCCTAAAAGGTAAATATGTATTGGGAGAGATCCTCTGATAACTATGCAATCCTCCTTACCCAATAACTATGCCTCTAATTTTTCCCTAATTTTTGATAAATAAAATAAATTTAAAATAATAATAATAAAAAAAAAAAAAAAAAAAAAAAAAAAAAAACCCAAATCCCCTGTCCAAAATAATCCAGATTGATGAGATGAACACATAAATAATAAAGTTCAACTGTATATATAAATAAAAATAAATAAAAAAAAATAATATCCAACTATATGAATCAGAAAACCTCATTAATATCACCTTTTAAAATAAGATCATCACCATATAAACAACAGGATAAAAAAAAATTAAAAAAAAAAAAAAAAAAAATTTGAAGTTTTCACCTGTCAGTGCTACAGTACTGAAAAAGCTTTCCCCTGTTGGAGAAGATGATGGCGGCCACGTCGACATCGCAGAGAACAGATAACTCCTTAGCTTTCTTAATCAGACCGTTTCTTCTCTTCGAGAAACAAACCATTCTCGCACCGTTGTCCTCGATTCGCTTTATCTCCAATTTCTTTCTCCCCATTTTTCGGAATCTGTTTACCCAATTTCTGTTTATCCTCGCACGCAGGCTTACAGTATATGCGTGCTGGTGTGTGTGTGTGTGTTTGTGTGTATTTGAGTAGTTGCTCAGGAGGCCGAATATGTATGTATGTATGGGAATCAGAAGAAACTTTTCATATTTTTTTATTTTTTTTTTAATTTTTTTTTTGGGGGGGTTAATCATCCTAATAATCACCATTAGTGTTCCTGTACACTGTTTGTGTATAAGATCTGCATAAATCACATACTATATTATATTATATTATATGCATATATAATGTAAAATATCTGAATTGCTAAATATTTATCTTTTCTTTTTTATTTATTTATATATTATTAGTACAGAAAACAGCACTGGGAAGAGTGTACACGTGGCGTACAAAAACAACCAGGAGCTGCCACGTGGAGTGTAAATATCTTCTGAGACAGCAGCGGCGTGGGAGAGGGTCGGTTTATATTCCGACACTTCTTTATGCGATGGCATATTGTAAATAAGTTCATAAATGGCTACTTATTATAAAAGGGTATAGATAAAAAATTATTTTATAAAAAATTCACATATTGATGGAGGTTTGTAAAATATTAAAATAGTCCATCACATTTTAATATGTTTTAATTTCATCATTTAATTCAATTTAATCTCAATTTGACCCCAAATTTCATAAATTATTCAATTTTAACCTGAAATACAATTTTGAGTACAATTTTGCCAGTCGCTTTTTTTTTTTTTTTTTTTTGCTTCCGCCGCCGCTGACCAGCGGTCGACGTTGATTTTTATTTTATTTTTTTATTTTTTTTCTTTAACATCTTTTTGCCCCGTTTAAACAACAATATTGATGTGGTTGACAGTAATATTAACTATATTATTGTTAAACACAGTAATATTAACTGTACTACGATTTAACAAAAATAATATTGTTATATTAATCTCTAGCACAATAATATTAACACAACAAAAGTCATTATTATTGTGTAATAGAGTAATATTAATATGTTGACCGTTCAACAAGGGTAAATATAATAAAAAACCAAAAAAATTAATATTGATGTGGTTGACAGTAATATTATTGTCATTCACAGTAATATTACTGTAACAACAATAATATTACCGTCAACCACAATAATATTATTGTGTTTACAATAATATTACAGTAATATACAATAATATTATTACGTTAATCCGTCAACAACTCAAAACAAAAAAAAAGCAAAAAAATATTGATGTGGTTGACAGTAAAATTATTGTGTTCCGTCAACGACAGTAATATAATTACGTTGACTTGTCAACACATCAAACAAAAAAAAAAGTCAAAAAAATAATAATATTGTCGCTGACTGTAATTATATTGTCAACGACAGTATAATTACTGTCCGCAATAGTATAATTACTGTTAATGACAGTACAATTACGGTCAACGTTTAGCGGCGTGCGTAAAAGAATAGATAAAAATTTTAGGAAAAAAGTCAACACCGGTGACCGGCGGTCAACCTCGAAAACCGGCGGCGATAAAGCATACAGAATTTTTTTTTCGAAAAAGTCAACGCCGGAAACCGGCGGCAAAAAAAATAATATCAGAAATAAAAAAGTCAAAATTGGATTTTTGTGGTCAAAATTAATTAAATTGGGGTTACAATTAAGAATTAAGTGTAAATGGTTGGGGGTAATTTTGTTATACACATTAAATTTTCATTTATTTATAATACATATTAAATGGATGAGCTCTTTGAAGAAAAAAATATAACCCCTAAACTTAGAATAATAAAGATATTTTGGTCATTGACTTATTAAAAAAAAACCCTCAAATTAAGGTTGATGGGCCAAAATGGGCAACGACCTACTCAAATACCCATAAATTATTAACAATTTAATGGGCTTGTAAGTATGAAAAAAGTATAGGCCGCCGCTACTCGAATACTTGTTTCATTAAGTGTAATATCAATTAAAAGAAGACTACAAAAAAACACCATGAAATGACTGATGTACCCATTACTTATTTTTCCCTTGTTTTTTTTTGCAAGATCAAAAAACAAGGTATAAGTTTCCAAAAAAAAAAAGATTTTTGTGCATAAGTTCATAACCAATCTATCTTTATTATTCTAGGTGTTATGGGCTATATATCTTTCACCATTAAGCTCATTCCTTTAATATTTATTATAAATAAAGGAAACATTCATGTATATGACAATATTATCCCCAACCATCTATACACAATTCTTAATTGTAACCCCAATTTAATCAATTTTGTCCACAAAAATCCAATTTTGACTTTTTTTTTTTTCAAAAACTTTTTTGTTTCAAATAAAAAAAATTTGCCGCTGGATACCGGCGTTGACTTTTCGATTTTTTTTTTCCGCTGCCGGATTCCAGCGTTGACCGCTGGTCTCCGGTGTTGACTTTTTTTAGTGTTTTGTTTATTTTTTTTTTGCGTCCGCCGCTAAACGTTGACCGTAATTGTGCTGTCACTGACAGTAAATTAACGTAATTATACTATCTATGACAGTTAATTAACGTAATTGTACTGTCGTTGACAATACATTTATGTAAGCGTTCTGCCGTTGACAGTAAATTAACGTAATATTATTATTTTTTATTTTGTGTCATTTATTTTGATTTTGTTTGATTTGTTGACAAGTCAACGTAATTATATTACTGTCGTTGACAGTAAAATAACTGTTAAAACAATAATATTACTGTCAACAACATCAATATTATTATTTTTTTGGGTTTTTTGTTTTGTTTGAGTTATTCACGGAATAACGTAATAATATTAATGTCTATTATTGTAATATTACTGTAAACACAATAATAATACTGTGGTTGACGGTAATATTACTGTTGTTATAGTAATATTGTTGTCAACCACATCAATATTATTATTTTGTTTGGATTTTTTTGTTTGTTTGAGTTATTCACGGAGTAACGTAATAATATTACTGTCTATTAATTATTGTAATATTATTGTGGTTGACGGTGATATTACTGTTGTTATAGTAATATTACTATCACTCACAGTAATATTAATTATTTTGGCTTTTTATTATGTTTACATTTGTTGAACGTTAACATAGTAATATTACTCTATTACACAATAATAATGAGTTTTGTTGTGTTAATATTACTGTGCTAGAGATTAATAGAGCAATATTACTATGTTAAACTGTAGTATAGTTAATTTTACTGTCAATCACAACAATATTGCTGTTTAAACGAGAAAAAAAAATGTTACAAAAAAAAAAAAAAAAAAAAACCGAAAAAGTTAACGTCGGAGACCATTTCACGAAATATAGATGATTATGTTGAATTTGACACCATAAGAGTGGAAATACAAGAAGATTCATAGTTGAGTAGTAGATGTTTATCCAAACAAGAACGGTTTTTTCGTAATTTGACCATACTTCAGGGGTGGTTGTAATTTACCTATAAAATATCATAAATATTGTTCAATTTTCTATCCACTCACTCCCTTATACTTGCTTAGTCCTCCTATATTTTAACGTGTTATTTTTTTCTTTTTTTTCTATGAAATATTTATTGCAAGTCATTTAAACTTGGGTAAATGGGAAATATGGCTATACGAGGGTACTTAATTATAAAAAATGACATCCAACTTTTTGTCTTCCAAATAATTTCAGCTCATTCAAACTTATTTGCAAATATGGAAAACTATTTTACATATACCAAAATTACTCTCAATTCCTTGAAACCCTAATTCAATCCCAATTTCACGATTTACACTCCAATTTTGCCCAATTTCACCAATTAACCAATTTTGACCCCAATTTTACTGTTCGGGAAAGTAATATTCATAATATTACTGTCCTGTTTGGGACAGTAATATTAGTATTATTACTGTTTTGATATTCAATATTACTATTTCAACAATAATTTTGTTATTAAAGTAATTTAGAGAGAAAAAAAATTAAAAAAAAAAGTCAACGCCGGAATCTGGCCCGAAAAAAAAATTATTTTCTGAAAAAAAAAAAAATTTCAAAAAAATATTAAAATGGGAGTTAATGTGATATATTTGTTCAAATCTGGGGTCAATGTGTAATATTGAAAAATTTAGAGTATTATGCATGGAATTGATAAAAATTATATTATGGAGGGTATTTTAAACAAAAGACATGGGTATGAGTTTATTTGCAAGATTGTTTTTTATCCGGACTTATATACATTTAAGTCCCTTGTCAAGGGCCTCTTTGTCATTCGCCTTTTAAACTTTCATATTAAATGACCTAGAGATAATGTAACTTGTGATAATGACATTTCATCCAATTTTGCACAACAAAAATGTGAACAGTAAATTTTATATAGTTAGCCGAAGGTTGGGTTGATCCTTTCCAAAATTAAACTTAAAAGGGTAAAACAATTCTAATAATCATCTAATTTGAATCAGTTTCTGGGCAAATTGCGCTGAATAAAATGTAACCTATTTTTTAAGGGGTTTTTGTAAGTCCCCGACCAACCATCTTTATTATTCTAGGTTTAGGGATTATATCTATTTCGCCAATAAACTCATCCCTTTAATATGTCTTATAAATAAAGAAAAAAATAATGTATATGACAAAATTACTCCCAACCCTTTTACACTCAATTCTTAATTGTAACCCCAATTTAATCAATTTTTACCACAAAAATTCAATTTATATATATATTTTTTAAACTTTTTTTTTTCAAAAATTAGTTTTTTGCCGTCGAGCTCCGGCGTTGACTTTTCGATATATATATATATATATATATATATATTCTAGTTTGTTTTTTCCGCCGCCAGTTTGCGGCGTTTACTATTTTTAGTGATATTTTTTTTCCCATAAATTTTTTATCCGTCTTCTTATGCCCGCCGCTAAACGTTGACCGTAATTGTATTGTCATTAACAGTAATTATACTGTCACTCACAATACATTAACGTAAGTATATTGTCGTTAACAGTACATTAACGTAATTGCACTGTTGTTGACAGTACATTATGTAATTGTACTGTCGTTGACAATACAGTTAGACTGAACGACAATATTATTATTTTTTTAGGTGTGTGTGTTTTTTTTTTTTTTTTTTAATTTTGTTTGATTTGTTAAAAGTCAACGTAATTATATTTTTATCGTTGACAGTAAAATAACTGTAAACACAATAATATTACGGTCAACCGCATTAATATTATTTTTTTTTGGGTTTTTTGTTTTGTTTGAGTTGTAGATGCAGTAACGTAATAATATTACTGTCTACTATTGTAATATTATTGTAAGCACAATAATATTACTGTGGTTGACGGCAATATTACTGTTGTTACAGTAATATTACTGTCAACCACAGTAATATTAATTCTTTTGACTTTTTATTATGTTTACTTTTGTTGAACGGTCAACATATTAAAATTACTCCATTACAAAATAATAATGACTTTTGTTGTGTTAATATTACTGTGCTAGAGATTAATATAGCAATATTATTGTGTTAAACTGTAGTATAGTTAATATTACTGTGTTTTAAAGTAATATAGTTAATATTACTGTCAATCACAACAATATTACTGTTTAAACGGGGGCAAACAAACGTTACAGAAAAAAAATAAAAAAAATAAAAAAATCGAAAAAGTCAACGCCGGAGACCGGCGGAAAAACCAGGAAGAAAAAAAAAAAAGTTCACGGCGGCGATAGACGAAATTGTCAAAAAAATTGTGTTTTGGGTCAAAGTTAAATAATTTGTGAAACTTGGGGTCAAATTGAGGTTAGATTAAATTAAATGATGAAATTGAAGCATATTAAAATGTGAGGGGCTATTTTAGTCCTTTATAATGACCATGTGTAGACTTTTTGGTAAAATAGTTTTTTTGTCTGGACCCCTTTATGAATAAGTACCAATTGATGGGCTTATTTGTAAAGTGCCCATTTTTAAAGGCTTAATCCCACTTTGCACCCATGAAATATACCATTTTGGCACTTTGCACCCTCAAAAAATAATAATAGCACTTTGCACTGTCAAAACACAACAAATCATTCACAATGCACCCTGAATTGAATAATAAAGACAATTTCATTTTTCAATGGTTTTTTTTTTCGGGGTGCAAAATAAAAAAATAAATTGTTATGTTCTTGAACCTCCAACCTAATTTCGAGCGGACAAAGTGAGAAAAAATATAAATTACACTGGATTATTTAAAAAAACTATATTTTCTTAGAAAAGTAAAATAAAATAAACTTTGTCACTAAATTATTCGATTGATTGATGATTCTTTTATTGTAACTCGTTAAATATATTAGGTAAAATTATTAAACAAAAAATTGGATCAAAAAGCCAAGGCGCTGAGGGATGGAGGGGTTAATAAATAAATAAGTGGTACAATTGTCCTAACCATAGTTTGCCACGTGTAACGCAATGAGCGTGGTCAAGTGGAAAGAAATATCTTTTGAAGGGCAGACCAGTGTTGCCAAATCAGATTCATAATTACATATATATAAAAATAAAACTGTATCTACTGTTGGGATTTCACTAATATTAGCTCATCGATCTTTAAACCCCCCCCTCTCTCTCCTCTCTCTCTCTCTCTCTCTCTCTCTCTACGTATACCAACTTGTCAGATAGCAGCAAATACGAAATATGATTCAATGTTGTCAAAAAGGTATGACGAAACCCTAAAATCGGAAGCTGCCGTAAGGGGTTGCGGTGGGTTTTTTCCGGCGCGTGGGGGGAAGATGAGTTTGTTTCTAGGGTTTTGTACATGTGTGGAAGTTTCTTTAATTTGTTTGGTAATAATATAATGGCTGAAAGCATTCGAAGCATGTGATAAAAACCTCGAGTTTTCTGTAAGCTTATTAGAACTGCTTCGAAGATCCGCTTTTTTTTTTTTTTTTTTTTTTTTTTTTTTTTTTTTTTAATTCTTGTATTATTGACATGAAAGTGTTTTTCGCATTTCTTGGCAGATTTACTCGTGTGTGTGTGTGTGTGTGAGAGAGAGAGAGTTTTGGTAGGAGCTATATATATATATATATATAGGAGAGGAAGTGTTAAATATTAATTAAGTTAAAGCAGAAGAATAATAATTAGTAGATGGAATTTCAGAAATAAATTAAAGAGATAATCTCAAAATATATTTGTTGTCCAAAACCCACCAAACCGCCTGCTAAATGGATATACATGGAGTACTAAATATATACATGTATGTATATATGTGTGTGTGTGTGTGTTTGTGTGTGTATAGCAGGCCAGTATGCCACCTCTTCACTTTGAGTATAGAAAGTGAATATTGCTCCTGCAGGTACGCCGTACGCCTCTCTCCCTCCCTCCCTCTCTCTCTCTCTCTCTCTCTCTCTCTCTCTCTCTCTCTCTCACACACACACACACACACACATAGATACACATAGATACACATATCTTATGTACTTGGCTTTCAAATCAGGAATAGCAAAATAATTTGAGATAAGGTCGGCATGCATTTGGTGTTCATGTCATTATTAGAATTGAGGTGTTCTTGAAAATAGTTTTGGAAAAAAATGTTGTAGCAACCAAATTATGTGTAAAATGTTGCAAGTAGTAGTTTTTATCTATATTTTTGTGAAGAATTTTTTGTTCTTTTTACTACAAAGGCCGAATCCCTCTCGGCACACATTATTATAGATTTTTAGATCGAAAATTGCGGAATTTTTTTTTGAGGATGTTATGTTATATTGTTCGGACGGGAAAATGTAAAGAATTCGTTTCCACTAGCTTGTGAAAGGAGAAAAAAAGATGAAGGAATGTGTTAACCATTTTCGAGTTTTTTCGATGTTGATCGGAAAGAAAGAAAAGAAGAAGAGTCGGTTGAGTATTATAAGTGTAAAAGTTGATAGGTACACAAAAAAAGTAGTTTCTTCACTTGACATTTTCTAGTAAATCTTGAAATCTACATTTACTGACTAAAAGGACTTTGTACAAAGAATCATTTTGTCTTTGAGCCCTTTGCCTCTTTCAATATCAAATTCTATATTCACTAGGAATAATTTTTCTTCTCTTTTGAACCTCTTTCACTATACCAAATTATTTAGAATGCCGTGTTTCATCGTAGAGTCGCATCTATGCTTCATTTGCGATATATACATACGAATATATCTACAAAACATAGAATATAAGAATGTCGTCCTTAACTTACAATGAAAAATATAGTCATTTGAGAACGAATTAGTTGTTGCTTCAAAAAATGATCTTAAGTGTGATCTTTACATTAAATGTTTAAGGAAAAAAAAAAAAAAGGGAACTCGTTCATTTAAGATGACGAGAGATTGTGTCTATGTATGGTAAAAATAATCGCTTTTAACATCGTCATGTAAAAGCATGTTGATTTTGACACATTCGAAAGGTAAAGTAAATGTCAATAGTTATCGCCACACAACAACTAGGACCGGATTGAACGACAGTCGTCTAGTATATTCAAGAACAACTTGTAACTTAGGTACTCTCCCTACTCTCACGCTTGAATGAAATTTACATTGTTTCAATATAAGAAAGAGGTAGTTAGCCATTGCTCGACAATAGCCCATTTTTTCTTATCGGTACCAAGAAGATTGTTAACTTTCTTCATAACCTTTTTCCACCCAGAGATTGTTTTGTTCATAAATATTGTGACAAAGTTGAATCTCAAGACATCAAAATTAGATTATTATTCAAACATCCTAGATTTGTTGCACGCATCTTTGAATGATCATTCTTCTCGTATCTTTCAAAATTTGTTGCGATTTCTACATCATAATATTTTGTGTTCCTTGCACTTTGATCTTCATGTCTTATTGCGACCCACATTTCTATAATTTGCATGATTCGATAATTATGCCATGCAAGTTATGGCAGAGATCAAGCATCATGTAGTAAATTTTAGATGTAGATAGATAGTTAGCCCAACTGCAACACCCTGAGCTTTTCAACCCGATCGTTAGCTAACATACCGGCCCACTTAGCACTGGGGCAACACAAGCCCAACCCATTGAAGGTATTACTGCCCAAACTAATAGTAGTAGATGAGGTGAGATTCCTAGAATCATATTATATGAAATATATTTCGGACGATCGGATTGACGTACAGTCTAAAGGAATAAACTTTTTTACGTAGAGAACTGGAAAGAATAGAAACAATTGTTTCTAGTATAAAAAAGGCAAGCTCTTACCATCATAATCTGAACGAGTTCCTGAACGCAATTGTTTTTAGGTGCAGGGCCAATTGCAATTTTTATGCCTTGCTGTCTTCTAACCGAAAACTCAACTCGGTTATGGGCTCGTTTCGGAGCCTTCTTTATCCAGAGCAGTAAGTTAACTGAATAGACAAGTGTTCTAGGATCAGGAAATACTAAATATTTTTCATTGAGCACTCTGAGATGAGTTAAGATAGCCAAAAGACGAGAAAATCATAAAGCCCGAATTTTTCTTATGACCGTAGTGTATATTGATTCTATCTTTACCTATTTACATTTTTCCTCCTTCGAATTTGAGTTGTGACAGCAGAAAACATAGGTTCTTGTGTTGGATTTTATTCCCTGTCCTAAAAAAAAGTTTCGAACATCCTACAAGATAGAAAGAAACCTACAGGAAAATCTGTCTTCAAGCCATAATTGAGGGAGGCCTAAGTTATTTGATTGTTAATTCGGTTTTCTTCTATATTCTATATCCAATGGTGTGGGAAAAAGTCAAAGATCACACACTACAGCCTCGTTCGGGAATAGTGATACGACTTGATATACAATGTAATCAAGATGTATACAATAATGTTTGGGGGCTTAGGTTCCAAGCCCGTGATTAGAAACACAGGGCCCGGAATTGAATCAAGCGTATAAATAATATTGAGTCCAAGCTCAACTCCCTATTATCAGACAACCCCGTGAAGAGTAAGTATCGTAACAAATTCATATTACATTATTATGGATCCACTCGACCGAGGAGTAGAGTTGAACATACAACAGATAAAACCACGAATAAATACCGCAGTATAGCATAGCCTGAATAAAGAAGAGGGCTCGAGAGTAGCTTACATGGTGACACAATACAGAAGGTAGATAGATAGATATCCCCATTAGCAGCAGCTTTTTATTTATTTATTACCTGTGTTTGTTGATTTAGATGCTGCGGAGTTATTTTTTACATAAATGAAAAGTTTAGATGACTTCTACTCGGTCATTTGGTCATCTGCAGCAACGTTGAGATCCAATATGATCTTCTTTCCCCTTGCATTTCGATTTTTTCCGGTTATCTGTAAGTGCAATGAGGAGCAGAAGAATAATAAATAATCGTAGTGATAATTAAAGCTTAATTACTCTTTATATGTATAGAGTTTTAACTTCGATTATACCTCCTCCAGGCTCCTTTTTTCTTCTGCCAGGCTCTTTTCCTGTTTCATATAAAGCATCGTGTGAATTGCTTTACTTGAAACCAACACAAGTAGTTGATTCGCGTAAGCTCTAAAGTAACAGAAAAAAACGTCGGAGATTGTAATTCTGATATATATATATATATATATATATATATATATATATATATATATATAATGTCTTATCTATATCCGAGTTTTAAGATTGTTAGAATCTCGTGATGTCAACTTCTTGCACTAACTGCCTGCCTTAAGTAGTACGATAGATGTGGAACAATGGTTTGTTGCTCATCTTAGATTGATATCTAAGTGCCTAGTTTTTTTAGGTTGACTTTTTCGACAGAGTTGACCAATCCGGACAAGAAATGTGTGTTCCGAGAAAATGGTAGTGCTGATTCCACCTGCATATCGCTAATACATATTTCAATGAATCAATTTATACATCTGTTTTGCAGCAGCCTCTATTAGGCGTTCGAAGGTTATAAAATAAGGTAGTAAAAGAAACACTAATTACGCTCGATTTTCTCTAAAAAGAAACACAGTTGTTAAACGAGCATCTATTCGGTTTCCTTACTAAAAACCAAATTGTAAAACGAGTCTTAACTTTAGTGTTAGGATGTTGCACTGCCACAGTGCAAATAAAAGGAAAAATGATTGTTTATACTTTTTCGTGCCCGTCACAAGAAATGGAATCAAGATTTATCGTAGTGGCTGCACGCATGCTATTTGTGAAATTAAAGATTTATCATTTATATATTGGACATAAAATAATTAAATGTTATCTCCGTTTTTTGCAGATTGGAAAAAAAAGACAGTGCACCAGAATCAAGCATGGAAGCTCGTCAACACCTCTAAGTACACAGCACTGTCTCGACAATTCAACGTATAAATTTCACATATTGAAGGTTATTAAGTTCATATATTCTTTTTCTTCTTGATTTATTTACCCTAATCGGAAAATCCAAGTTTAGTTACTCAGATCAGAAAATGAATAAACTCAGCTATAGGGACCAAATGCATGCATATGCATACATACTCTAGGCAATTCTGAGTTGTAGTTGGGGAAAATACACTTTTCGTCCTTTTAGTTTACCTCAATTTCACATTTGGTCCTCTTTCTTCACAAAAAAACCAGATTTAGTCCCTCATGTTTCAAAACCTAACACTTCTAGTCATTTCCGTCAATGTGCCGTTAGTTAGTATATAACGGAATGAAGTTCTTGCCATTTTAACCAACGGACTCACGGAAAGGACCAAATGTGTTTTAATTTTTTTTGAACACTAGGGACTAAATCTGTTTGTTGTAAACAAGGGGACCAAATGTGAAATCGAGGTAAAATTGAAGGATGAAAAGTGTATTTTTACTTCTTGTGTGTGCAGATAAGTCAAGTATACACCCAATGGTAAAAATTGAAATGGTAATCAAACCCTTTGGCTATTTAAAAGAAAAACACGTACACACACAATAAATGGTTGATCTTTGTTCGGTGTATGTATACATTAATAAAGTGTGATATTTTTATTTTTATTTTTTATCCAATTTATTGTGAGAAACACGTAATTCAGTGATAGTGGATCAAAGTGTACGCCGTATATAAAGATCATAGATCTGCATACCTCTTCACGAAGGCTTGATACAGTATCGACCATCCTCTGTGTCTGCACGAAGAAGATAATTCTTGTATCAATTCACAATATAGTATATCTATATGTTTACATACAGGTTGACAATTTTTATTTTTTTTATTTTTTTAGGTTGACAAAAATCGGAAAGAAGACACTATACGGACCAAACTTCAATTCATGCACGCAAATAATTTTTACTATCGTCTATTATTTTTCTTCTTGATTACCCTGAGGTTAAAAAACAGGGCATCAAAAAGGATTTTCGCATGCATCAGCATAACATAACAAAAATCGTCCCATTCAAATTTGCAGGATAACAAAATGTTGAAATGCATCATAGATAGTTTCACCGAACCCACGATGAACCCACGATTCTCAAGGTAAGTAACTAACTCTCTTTCAACTCATTATACAATACTCTAAAATAGTGGTGCTTTTTTTTTTTTTTTTTTTCTTTTACGTGGCTGTGTGGTTTAACATGTTGATGCACATAACATCCCGCAAAACAAAGATAGAATGGAGAGATGGAAAAAACTGCAGAATGTAATAATAATGACATTTAGATTTTAGAGTGATGGAGGGAAAACGAAACCTTAGCAGATCTCGTTTGACTTATTGCAGCCTCGATTTCTTTCTGCAGAAGCATAAGATCCGTCACACTTAGTTCGTCAAGTTCCCTATCGATACATATTTTTTGAGTTAATGAATAAACGTCCCATTTAATTTATAGACCGTAAAAGAAAAGCGGTTAAGTACCTTTCAACATCTCGGAGTAACTCATCACTTGTAATAGAGTTGTTTGACTGGCTCTGATTTTATATATATAACCAAAATATTATCCCGGATTTTAGAGTGTCTGTTCGAAATCCCATTTCTTGACCAAGTCAACACATAATTAAGTGTGGAAAAATATCCCATTTCGAAAAACTCAAGTTAGATGAATATTAATTCGACGTGAAAAAATCGGGATCACCTTTGCCTCGGAAGACCTTGTAGAGCTTTCAGCTTCATCTTTATATCGTTGAAGAACTGGGTCTATGCTGGAAAACCGATAAACAGTGTGTGAGATACGGACATACGGTGATGCTCGTGTAATTAAAAATAAAATAAAAAATCATGACGTAAAAGAAAATATATAGAAAACATCTTCAAATCTTAATTTCAACTAATCTACTCTGCGGTGTTTTAGCTATCTGCATATAGGTACTAATCAACATCCGTAAAATAACTATTATATTTTATTGCTTTTCAAACATATACGCAAAATATATGTATTAATAACTCGATTCTTGATTGTTTAGCTAATACTACATTCGATTGTCCTTCATTCCAAGTATAAGAGAAATCAGACCATACATGCATGAAATATTGAAAAATACGAATTGGCTAACTTTTGGCAAAACATTAATTTTAGCTTCCCCTGTTCGAACATCATTTTTCGAAAAGCTAAAATCTTAAAACAACAACTCACAAGTAACAAACAAACAAACAAAATCACGAGCATAAATGCGTCTTAGATTGTTTTCGAGATTGAATTTGTTAATTCATGAGGAAAGCATGACTCAACATCGAAAGAAGAAAGAACAATCAATATACCAAATCCTTATTATAATTTATAAGTTATCTTCTTTTCAAGAAAAATATACTTCACTACATACAAATGTGGAATGAAACAAGCATTCAAGAAAGTCAATGTTAAGTCAACAAACAAAATATGTAGAATCCACCGTAATCTAGATGTAACACCACACCATCTTAAATTACAGTAGTAAGTTGAGCTGTAGACAGGTGAAAGACAAATTCAGTGTGCATAACTTTAGTGCCAAATATGGTGCTCGGAAATAATCGAGGTGAAATTACAATATCGGTCAAATTAATGCGCGCGTAACATTTCTTAAAATTAGTGTGCACAAACCCACCTCGAGTACTAATATAGGTGCCTTGATGCTGATACAAAAATCTAGACAACATATGAGTTTTATTTCGGCAAACTTAATTATGTGATGTGCAAACATGTACGATTATATAGTATGCAAGTCTTTACATTATCTGTTAAATAAATAGATACACAAATACGACATATACGCGTATTACAAATCCTATAAAACCCGTTTTCTGGGGCAATCTTAGAACAAGGCCAGGCCCACATCTGATTAATAATGTAAATCAACATATTGTTGCATGTCAAATATGAGATCATATAACACAAGTTTTACAAACTATATATATAGTTTTTTTTTAAATTACCACTTTTCAACAAAAAAAATCATCCAACGGGCTAACTTCGGCGATCAACTAAAACGAAAGTTGCACCCGCTATAAATAGCATTTTCTATTGTGAAAAGGTAAACACAAAGTACTAAATTATGACATTACCCCCATTGGAGATGCGCTCTTAGAGCTAGGGGTGTAATTTGGCACATTTGGTGAGCCCCAACTCGACTTGAGTTTGATGAGCTTGAGCTCAGCAAGCTATTTTAAGTTCGAGGCTTCGAGCTCATGGAATAATGATACACAATGAGCCGCTAGCTCATTTTGTTTTGTTCTATTTTATTTTTAAAATATTTTATTAGGGACAAAATGCACTCCTCCCCTTGGAATTTTCAATTTTTGCGCTTGCAAAGTAAAAAAAGATCCCCCCTCAAAATTTTGTTCCAGTTGCAATTTGCCTCAAATTACAATTTACAGCGTACTTTTTATCATCATTGCCTGAATCTGTCCAATTGATAGATCATCGTAATAGCTATCAACATAAGAAGAATGTGAAGATTATCACACTTTTGGGAGCATATTAGGCATAATTAGTTTCGGGAGGAAAAAACCCAAAAACAGATTCCTGAAATTAGTGAAATGAATTGCATTCTTCATCTATTAGAAAAAAATAAGTATATTAGGATTTGGATGGAACACTTAAATGACTCAAATGCCCTTGAAGTGGACGGATAAATGGCAATTTGGATGAAAAACACGTCGAAGATTAAAATTTTGGAACGGGGAGAATCTTTTTTAATTTGTAGTGGGGAAAGTACAAAAATTAGAAGTTTAAAGAGGGCAATATGCATTTTCTTCTGTTATGCAAACAAAAACTTCAACTAAGAAAGTATTACACAAGCGAGGAGCTACGTGATAGCGTACCACCAAGAAAATGTCATCGCCTAAATGATTGTCTTCAACTTTGAGGTTAAACCTTCAAGATAACTTAGAAAAATTGTTTTAAGAGGAATTATAGAGAACCTCCTTGGACCTAAATATCGAAAAACCAAAGAACAAACCCAAACAAAAAAAAAAAAGAAAAAAGAAAAAACAAAACAATTGCTTTGGTTTTTTTTATAAAATTGAATCATCCTTTTTCATGTATTGTGCAAAGGGTGAATAATAGTACCAATAAAATAACTTCATTTTGGGTTATACATATATTATTTGACCATAATATAATACATATATCTTTCAATTACTAGTCTCACTTTAAGTACCAACGTTTTGTGCATAAGTTGACTCATTAGTATCCGAATCAGATAGTAACCAATCTCTTATTTGAGTTCATGATTTTATTGTGTTTAATGAAAGTAGAAAATATAGTGTAACATATCACCAACATTATGTGAAGTCCTATGGGGATAAGTTTTTATAATGTTTTTATTGCATTTAATTAGTTAAATGAAACTAACTGTAAATTATTTAGTGTGAACATATAATTGCTAATGAACCAAAGAAAAAAAAAAAAAAAAAAAAGAAAAAAAAAAGAAAAAAGAAAAAACCGAATGTGAATAAGAGAAACCCAAAATCAAATGAAACCAAATTGATCAAAAACCGACATGTATGCCTTACAACCTTACAAAAACACGGTATATATATTTAGTTCAGTATATATATTTAGTTGACGTTGATTTTAGCCCAAAATTGAACCGAACAAAGCCGTGCACACCCCTAGTTATGGGAATCGAGATACGATTTCTTCTTTTTCTTGAAGGCTGGGTTGTTAGCAATGTCGATTTGTTGAAGCCACACTAGCTCGCTGGCTAAGGATGCTAATCCCTTACACTCTTCACTATGGTCTAAAAACGATTGCATGTTGCCTTGGCTTTCGATCAAAAGAGAGAAGCCACCCAATAATAGATCACACTAGCATGTATCTCTAAAAACGAAGACAGTAATATTATTTATAGCCTATAATTTAATAAAAATCGGATCATTCCTTAAAGGTAAATATGTGTTGGGAGAGATCCTCTGATACCACTCGACGGATCGAACTATAACTATGCAATCCTCCTTACCCAATAACTATGCCTCTAATTTTTCCCTAATTTTTGATTAACAGGTATAAATAAAAAAAAAATAAATAAATAAACAAAAAAAAAAAAAAAAAAAACACCAAACCCCTGTCCAGAATAATCCAGATTGATGAGATGGACACATAAATAATTAAGTTCAACTGTATATATAAATAATATCCAACTATATGAATCAAAAAACCTCATTAATATCACCTTTTAAAATAAGATCATCACCATATATAAATAACAGGATAAAAAAAAAAAAAAAAATTTGAAGTTTTCACCTGTCAGTGCTACAGAACTGAAAAAGCTTGCCCCTCTTGGAGAAGATGATGGCGGCCACGTCGACATCGCAGAGAACAGATAACTCCTTAGCTTTCTTAATCAAACCGTTTCTTCTCTTCGAGAAACAAACCATTCTCGCACCGTTGTCCTCGATTCGCTTTATCTCCAATTTCTTTCTTCCCATTTTATCCTCCTCGCTCGAAGGCTTACAGTTATATGCGTGCTGGTGTGTGTGTGTTTTTGTGTGTGTGTGTGTGTAATTGAGTAGTTGTTCTAGAGGCAGCCGAATATGTATGTATGTATGGGAATCAGAGGAAACTTTTTAATTTCTTTTTTTTTTGGGGGTGAATTTTTAGATGCGGGGAGCATGTTTTTATTAATCATGCTAATAATCACCATTAGTGTGTTCCTCTACACTGTTTGTGAATAAGATCTGCATAAATCACATATATTATATTCATATATAATGTAAAATATCTGAATTGCTAAATATTTATCTTTTCTTTTTTATTTATTTATATATTATTAGTACAGAAAACAGCACTGGGAAGAGTGTACACGTGGCCTGAAACAACCAGGAGCTGCCACGTGGAGTATAAATATCTTATGAGGCAGCAAGCGGCGTGGGAGAGGGTCGGTTTACATTTCGACACTGCTTTATGCGATTATTGGCTCTACCTTCGGTGCTGCGTCTTTTACCCGTTATAGAAAGGGTAAATAGCACTTAACCCCCTTTGGTTTGGATATTTTGCACATGACCCCCTTGTGGTATGAATTTAGGCACATAACCCCCTTGTGGTTTTGACATTTTGCACATAACCCCTTGAATAGAAAACTGGAAAAAACTACATTATCCCTATCAAATCAAAACTCAAAAGTTCTTGTTTTAATTTAAAAATAATTATTCTATAAAATGAAAAGCTTAATGTATTTTTTTGTAAAAATGAGAAATATAATATATTATTGTGTTTTTTTTTACAGCACATATATTTTTTTTAAATTAAAACAAGAAATTAGGGTCATGTGCAAAATCTCAAAACCACAAGGGGGTTATGTGCTAAATTCATACCATAAGGGGGTCATGTGCACATAATTTCAAAATTTCAAAATCACAAGGGGGTTATGTGCCTAATTTCATACCATAAGGGGTCATGTGCAAAATGTCAAAACCACAAGGGGATTATGTGCCTAATTTCATACCATAAGGGGTCATGTGCAAAATATCAAAACCACAAGGGGGTTATGTGCCTAAATTCATACCACAAGGGGGTCATGTGCAAAATGTACAAACCACAAGGGGGTTAAGTGCTATTTACCCTTATAGAAAATAATTGTTTTCAAATTAGGAACATTACAAATAAATCCATCAAATGATACTTATTCACAACGAGGTCCAAATAAAAATATATTTATAAAAAAACTAATAAATTTTTCAAAGGTTTGTCAAATACTAAAATAGTCCCTCACATTTTAATATCTCCAATTTCATTATTTAATATAATTTAATAGTCCCTCACATTTTAATATCTCCAATTTCATTATTTAATTTAATTTAACCTCAATTAGACCCCAAATTTCAGAAATTATTCAATTTTGACCATGGTCAACGCCGACATTTTAATATCTCCAATTTCATTATTTAATATAATTTAATAGTCCCTCACATTTTAATATCTCCAATTTCATTATTTAATTTAATTTAACCTCAGTTAGACCCCAAATTTCAGAAATTATTCAATTTTGACCATGGTCAACGCCGGTCGGACCCCCAAATTTCAGAAATTATTCAATTTTGACCATGGTCAACGCCGGTCTCCGACGTAGACACGGCCCCGGGTTTTTAAATTTCGGCCAAAATGTGACGTGTGGGATTCGAACTCGGGTTGCCACTGACATGTAAAGCATTCCAATCCCACTGAGACAAGGCCAATAATTGTGAAATTACTTGCAAGAAATATATATAATACAAACAAACAGTATAAAATAATTATAATAAATAATGTTAAATAGATTGTTAATTATTATATTAATAATTATTAAATAATTTTAATTAAATTATTAACAAATATAATATAATATAATATAATAATTAAAAGGACTTGAGATTAATCCATTTAATTCATACGATTCGATTCTAATATTTGAATAAAATGTAAATGTAAAAAAATGATTAAATCATATGATCTACAATTTAATTCTTACGTTTTTTACAAATTAAACCAATTATTAAAAGAGAAATTACATCCTAATATTTTGATTGTACTAGTCATATATAATGTTATTTTGTAAAGTAAGAATATTAATTGAAATGAGATATAATCTATTTTTGTTAAAATAAACATCATTTATATTTTTAAATAATCATCTTATGAGAAAATACTCAATAATATTAATAAGTTCTTGTCAACAATAGAGGTTAATCGATTTAAATTAATTGAAATGAGTTATAATCTATTTTTTTAAATAAACATATTATTTTATTTTTCATTCGATTTTTTCACGCTATCGATTTTAATAACATAAGTGTATTTTAGTCAACGCATTTGTTTATATATTGAATTGATTCAATACTTTATATTTTTCATAGTGGAGATTATATTGATATAGTAATTAATAATAGATGTTTTGAAGTATTGAACCGTGATATTATATATTTTTTTTTGAAAGTTTCTTACATTGCATTTGTTAATTATTTAATAATAATTAATATGAGAAATTTTTCATAATTTCAAAATTAAAAAATAAATCAAAATTCAATCTTTCTTTTAAATAAAATCGTAATTATTTAAAATTTTCAAAATTAAATATATATGCATTTGTTATTAGGGGAGCTTTTTAATAATAATGATAATGAACATGACAATTAATAATTTATTAAACATTAGTTATACAATTGTTATAATTATTTTATAGTATTATATATATATATATATATATATATATATATATATATATATATATATATATATATATATTTAGCTAGATAGATTGACACACACTTTTACACTCACTGCCCCCCCGCGGGACCCACCCCCGGGGTCTCGCGACCGATCAAGCGACCCAAAAAACACACCCGCACGCGCACGCGTACGTGTACATGGACACCCGCCCGGGCCCCGGGCCGGGCGAGAGACTCAGCGGGTCAGTCCGCGTCCCACACACACTCTGTGTGTGACCCCGTCTGCGCCCATGTCTACGACTATGTCTTTCTGTTTTTTTTTCTTTATCATATTCTCTCACACACACACATATCTCTCACACACACACACACACACACACACATATACACACCCGTATG